AACCCGGTTAAGTCGAATACATCTAAAATATTATAATGAATTAGAAATAATTGGTTAATAATCTATTCTTAAAGGTTATATTACATAATTAGTAACTTATAACTTTATTATATTAACACCAATAAAAAGGAAATAATAATTATAATATCAATAATGATTTCAACTGAAGAAATTTCAGACAAAAACCATTCAAGATTAGTTGAAATGAATAAAGAGGTATTGCTAATTTGATTAATGTGATCGAAATTTTGATATTAAAAGTAAATATCACTGAAAATATTCATAATGGATGTACAACAATTAGATGGTTACATTATTGGCCTGATTTACAAAATCTATTTTTCTTAAAACAATGTGAGTAGAATAAGAAAATAAATTTCACCTTTAGTTATTTTTGTTAATCTAATTATTCCTCGAAATTATTGTTTAATTTTTCCAAATGAAGTATATTTACTTACTATGAATATTACTTCCTTTTTACCAATAAATAAAATTGTATTATATTTTGTATCTTGGCAGTTTTTACTCTGAAGATTTTGTGGATTGTCAAATAGATTTGGAAGGAAATTAATTTGAAAATAATTAAACTAATTTTTAATTGAAATAAAGGCTTTTCTCAAAATTGAAGAACTAATTGTTCTTAATAGAAGTTCTCCCTTATAAAATTATATTCGATTTGAAATGTTTTATAGGTTTGTAATCAATTATGAATGCTTGCTGATCTTCGAATCAACACTATTTTAATGGCAATTTTAATGGTTCAAAAATCTGCTTCAACAAATTCTACTGGTGTATACTGAATCTATTCGTCTCCTTATGACCAGTAAATCCAATTTTTATTTTTCAATTTTCATCCGAACTGATGGGTGTAGTGTATAATATTGCACTCTCATAATTTATGGACTCAATAAATAGTTATTAGAATCTAAAACCATTCTTATAAAATACTGTTGATCAATCATTCATAGAGATACAGAAAAATTTATAATCACCACCTTGAAATATAGGTGAATTAAAATATTTATAAGCATTAAAATTGAATACATTTAAAATAAATACTTTTTATCTTAGAAATATTTCGCTTTGGAGGAAAGTAGAGCTAATAGAACTAGAATTTAATTGAAATCCTCTATTACAAAAAAGTTAATCCGATTTTTCCTCAATAATCTCGATATATTCTGAGTTTGCATGCATTAAAAGATGATTCCCTAGAAACTTCAATAAATTTAGCTTAAGTAATATATATTGCTGGATTCCTCAACATTGAGAATTGCTATTGTTACTTCAAATTCATTTTGTTTTTGAAATCTGAAATCATTAAAATAAGAAAATTTCTAATTCTTCACTCAAGACTTGAAGATTTTGATTCCATTATTGCATCCTTTATGGTCTCCCAAATTCTAATTTATCCTCCGTTGCTCAGCCCTTTTATATTTCCATTAGCACATTCTACGTGGCAAAGCATTTATCAAATTCTATATATATCTCTTCAATCCTTCCTCCAATTATAAAAGAACATACTAATAAGTTGCCTTTATTTTTAAATTACAATAAGTAACAACTATTTCAAATAAAATATTAGGCGCTGGTAGCAGAATTCTTCTCTACCGTATTCTTCATTATCTGAGAACTCAATATTCCTTTCCTAAAGGGTTCACTCTCCCATCAATCAGGATTCGACTATCAAATAAGAGAGTCATTTTTCATAAGAATCTAATTATACAATTGAATTCTTGTAGGTTTCCTTCTCTTTTGTTTTCTTTATAATATGGTTAGTCAAAGCCATTCATACAGGAAAGCTTTAAGGTAATTTAATTTGAATAAATAGTTTAATTTCTTTAAAAAATGCCACAGATATACTTTCTGTTTTTAACACTAGAAAAGTTTGTTTATAGAAAACAGTAATTGTGGTAAACAATAGTAGGCGATGATTCTTTTAAATATCAAATGATTTTGAGCAATTTATTTAAGCTAAATATTAACCAATAATAATGTATATTCTTGAAAGACTTGCTAATAGAAGTTAACTAATCCATGTGAGACCTTATATATTATCAATCAAAGGAGTTATTTTTGCAGGATTCCATTTGCTTTTCAACAATCCTTATATTG